CTCTTCCTGGTGCTGGATGACAATTTTTATTACCAGAGCATGAGATACGAGGTGTACCAGCTGGCTCGCAAATGTAATTACTCTTCGTTCCTTCGCATAAGAACGTTTCCGGCCTTGTGGGAAATTCAGTGCGCTCCAAGTGCCTTTCCTTAAGTGCTTCTCTTACTCTGAGGCGCCAGATTCCTGCAGTATCATAAGCATCAGCACAACTTTGTTACTGTGCTGTTAGAAAGCGCTAGGTCACTTCAAGCCTTTCTTTTGTGCCTTGAACTCAGAAATTACTACTTGACTAGCCTTGAAGATAAAATTGTTCATATTATCATTAGGTTTGTATTTTCAGGCTCAGAACTCGCGTAGATGTTCCACATTCATGTAGAGCCTGTCTCTTGCATCTTGCTGTCAGAAATTTTTATATTAACCCGTCAAAAGTCAAACTCTCTCTTTATGTACTTTTAGATTCCTTGAGCTTCTGCCAGTTATTTTTAGAGTGTCCACTTGAATGCTGCTTGCAGAGAAATCGTCTAAGAAGTCATCCATTACCTGACCAGACAATATGTTTAATGGCAAGAAAAATAGAAATGCCAGATCTCGAGAAAAACTCTTGGGAACAGAACAGCCTCATCCTGAACAGTCTTGATTGCACTTTGGAGGATAAGTATGTTACTGGATTGATGCTAGGGTTTTCACTAAGTCCTTTGTTCATAAATGGGGGGGTAGAAGCTTTTTACCGTATTTAAACGGTACGTAAAAAATACTCCACATGGTGATTTTTGGGAGCTACTCAATTACACACACAATATGTGCCAGTCGTTGGGAACTCACAGCCATCGTTCTTTGCAGTTAACCTCAAAACTAACTGCATTTCTAAAGTATTGATGAAAATTTATGTAAATTGGCTGAAATATTATGACTGGAAATGATTGGCTGCATAAAGGCTGCATTGGTTGCCTCATAAATTTAACAGAAAACTTGAATTTTTTTTTCTGATGAAGCGTTATTACCAAATGAAAGAAACATCTTCGGTGACACTGTTTGCCTGATGCGGCTTACTCTTTTGTTTGTTTTCTTAGTGAGCAGATAATTAGCTTGCTGGCCACCGCTTTGGAAAATCCAGTGAAGCAAAACGAGGAAAACACTGAGCAAAAGGTAGCACCGCTCGTGCAGGTGTGCGCTGCACCTGTCACTGCATTGCTTGTTCTCCAAGGGCACTTCAAACGCTGCCGACAGTCTAAATCGAATTTAATGCATTTGTACATATTCTTCCTTTCTGTTGGTCACCCGGGATAGGAAGCAGATCGAGCAATCTGTGCAGCCAGTAGCGTCCATCAGGCTGATCAGGCGTGCAGGCGCGTCATCTCTCAGACAATGAAGGATGCCAAAGGTACGCCTGCAGGGCAGGGTGCTGGCTGGCTACGGAACACTAAACCTGTGGGATTCCCTCGGGGTAAACTGCGCAGGAATCCCAACCCTGCAGGTGTTACTGAGGCTTTCAGAAGCCTGGTCAAAGGTGCTGGTAGAGTTTTAGTCGAAGTCTGTAAATTTTGTCTTTTAAGCATGAAGTTAAAAGTTCAGCTTCTGTTTTCTTTTAGATAAAAACATACTGCCAAGCGAGATGAAGAGCCTGGCAGAAGAACTCAACAAACTCAAAGCAGAATTCTTGGAAGACTTGCGGCAAGGAGATGGTTTGAAAAATCAGTCTTCTGGCCCTGCTACACGTGCAATTTCTTCATTTCAACGTGAGGCAACCAATGTAGTTAATAAATACATTTTTAAATAATGGCATAGAGAACAGTGTTTTTTAAGAGTCCCGGGTGTTTAAAATGCAGTACTCTTTAAGCTGAAAACGTCCAAGAGATACAGCTTCCTTCTCTGGAGCCTCGTGCCTCTTACAATTCCTCTCCCCTCACTAAGGAAAACAGTCCAGCGTACTGTGACTTTGAAGATCAAGCCAAGCAACAAACAATCCTTAGGTTTTATTTCAATTTCAGAGATTCGTAGAAAAAGTTAGCCTAGGAGGAACACTTAGAAGTCATCTAGTCCTGGTTCCAGCTTATGGCAGGACTAACTTCAGTGAGTATGTGCCTGAAAAGGTGTAAAACCAAGAAGTGAGATGGCTGGCTCTTGGCTTCCCTGCTTGTTCCCCTGACAGAAACTGCAAAGGAGCAGAAACTTGAGTCACCTGCAGGTACACACACACACATGTAGGATTATCTCCACTGTCCAGAGGAACTTAAACCTTGGCACCACCTTTATTGTCACTAATAACAACATACACAGATGTTCCCTATATGGTGACAACCACCTTACCCCAGTAAAAACTCTGATTTGAGACACAGAAGCACTCTTGATGAGAAGGAAATAGGACCATGTAGAAACAGAGAATGTGAAAGATGGGCAAATGTGCAAGATTAACAGTGAAAAGGAGTAAAAGTGTGTCCTGGCTCAGGAGTAAAATGAAGCATTTTCAAATTAAGCAGACTGAAGCAAATTCCTTGCTTACCCTGGAGGTAAACTCACCTTCCTTACCGTATCCAGACCACAGCTAGTCAGGAGCAGTTCACCAGTTGCACCTGTTGAAGCACAGGCAATTAAAAAATTAACACGAGGCTTAATTAGAAAGTGTTATTTTATTCATATCTTACAAAAGCAAAGCTTCACAACATGAACTACACTAGATAGTTATTTCAGAATTAACCTTGTCATCTGAAAACAGTCACTACACAATAAAATTTATTTTACAACTCTAACAGGTTTCATTTTGCATACAAAATATGCTCTTTACACTGAAATACATATTATTAACAAAGCAGGTACTTAGAAGCACATACACAAAGATTGCTCAACGGAAAACGCTTCGGCAGGGCATAGACTTCCTGCAGCAGAACATCCATTTGCTGTAGATCTTCAAATAAGCTTATAATTAATAGAAAACTTGCCAGTGAAGACTTCTAAATTACATTCCCTTTGTCAAAAAAAAAAAAGAAACAAAAACCAAACAAGCAACCCCCTCAAACATTCTGAAACAAAACTAAGAGCAACAGGTCATTTTGTTAGGAAACACCGTTGAAATGTGTCTTTCAGCACTATTACATTAAAATGCCAATCAACATTTTATGTCAAAATCCTCTTCATCTAAACGTGTGTCTGTGGAAAAACCAACTATTTTTCCCTATTAGCTGCTTCACAGTTGGTTTAAATATTAACCAAGAGAATCTACTAAGAACTTCAGTCTAATATTTGCATGTTCATTGGAATATTCTGTCTCAGCAAGCCTGTATTAAGAGTGCTATAAACAGTGCATGGTACAAACGTCAACAAATCTGTAAAATAATCCATTACTACAACAACAAAAACCCACAAAGTTAATGTTTTGCAACTACAGAACTTAACAGAGTCAAGCTATGGAAAAAATTTCTTCTCATTCCCAAACTTCCCTGTTAATACAAGTTACAATGCTAATCACCACCCTATAATATAAGGATTTGGTGTGTTGGGTTTTTTTTTTTTTTGAAATAAAAAACTTAGCACAGTGTAGCACATGGAGAACTCAATATGACAAGTCCTACGAAGGACTCGATCCCCCAATTCCCGACAAGTATCCCTCCTGGACTCTTGAGTAAGGCCTGCTTGTGCAAGGGAATTTCCAGGATCATACTCTCAAATGATTTTCCAGTACTAATTCTGGTCTTTAAATTATAGCAAAGAATATGTACAAAAAGTATGAAAAGCTAATTGAAAATACACCTTCCAAACCTACTCGGTAGACAGAAGGAAACAGATTATCGTCAGAGTTTGGCACAACCGAACAACATCAGTGAATGGTGAAAAAATTAAAAAAAAAAAAAAATCAAGAATCGCAAGAATCTGGAGGGTGCCCCTCAGGGATCTATCTGCCCCACGGGTCTGGCTGCAGGACCAAGGCACGACCACCCAAGCCTGCTGTTGCCCAAGAACCCCCCCAGCAAAGAGCAGCTTGCTCAAGGAAAGAAGGAAAAATAATTGTATCGTTCAACCATTCACAGACGTTCAAGCTCGTCTGCTTTTCCTTAGGTACTCTGAAGCACAAACAATGCTATTAAAATACTTCCCAACAATTTGCAAGGTTTGACGTTAGGTTTCTTTCCTACTGTTATTAAGAATGTATTTTTCCCTCCTAAACGAAAGCCCCTTTTCAACAGGATCATCCTCTTGTTAACAGCTACCTCTATTAGCAACCTAACTATTGTCCTGTCTAAAATTTCCTTCAGAGGCATCAGGATTCAGAAGTCATTTTTCTGAATTGCCAAATCATTAACTGATAGAAAGAAAGAAAGAAAAAAAAGTAATTTTTACAGGCGCTGCCAACAAAAGTCCTAACGGATCAGAAACCACGTAAAATGGAACAGATGGATGAAATCGCAAACATTTGTGCATAGAAGAGTTAATTTCCCTGCTGATACCAAGAGGGAGAAAGGCTGGAGCTGTAAACCACGAAGAACTTGGCTGCTGTGGTCGGTGTCACTCAGCACTGGAAGGTGCTCCTTGGAGCACCACCCTTTGAGGGCTTTCCTAGGAGTTCCTAAAGCCTGGGAATAGAAGTATCAAAAGGAAAGAAACATGACCTCTATAAATTACTAGCTGTGGCAGTCCGTTATTCTAATACATTATTTTAGCCAAATTTAGATTTCAGAAGGCATCAGTACAGGATCAAAAGAGAGCTATCTATCATTTCTACCTTAGTCTTTGACTAGAGGAGTCGTGTTACAAAGCCTGTACAGGGCCAGTAGCTTCCACCTGGATTCCAGTTCAGTCAACTTTTAGTCCTTAAAAGAAAGGACTCTGTGCGCACACAGAGCTGCAGTTTTGCTTACAAAAGGAATTTTAAAAGTATAAAGCAACAGTGAGACATTCTGGAATTATAAAGAGTGTCATTATGAATAATGGAAATTACATTCTGTCGCCGAAATCCACTGAAATGGATTTTGAACTAGGCCTGAAACCAAAAGCATTTTTAGGAGCGATAGTTTGCTATCGTTCATCTTCACGACATCAGAAACACTTCAAAGGCATATTTTTGACCTCATTACTAACATGACTATATGCAGGCAAGAATCCAATTCCTTCAGCTGGTTACTCAAGCTCGGAAAATTCAACAAGTCAGTACGTTAGCTGGAGAGAAACATATTTGCTTCCTAAATTTCTAATTCATTACAGTCAACATTACTTCTACAGCTCAAGTTCTCAGAAAGGTGAGTCTTCCTATGCTGAGCTTACACTGAAGTCATTGTAAGTTTTTCCGTTGGCTCCAAGGAGCTTTAGCTCCCATAACAACAGACATTTGAATTAGCCAAACCTTCGCTGTTCGGATTCCAAGAACACGAATTAAATCTTCCTGCTTTTAACAAAGCATATCCGCTGCCTTGTTTTTGCTGATAGGAAAAGGGGAATATGTAAGGGAAGCTTTAATTTGTCTCAAGTAAGACAAACTAAGGTAAAAGTGCATGTCTAAAAATGGGAAAAGGAGCAGTTCTTCACTTTTCTTGAAGCATCACAAATTCCTGTGTATTACATTAAGAGCTTTCATTAATTTTGCTAGGGTGTTTTATTTAGGTTTATATTAAAGTGCCTGTCTGTTAGCCTAGGTGCTTCTAAAGTACAATGTACAGCATAAAATAAAAAAGAAAAAAAAACAACATGTGCAATGGACTTCAGGTATATCTTTAGTCACCATTTGCCACCTACAATTCCTATGATTATTAATCACGACGACCTCAAATGCAGTCAGCCGGTATTCCTCTGCCTCCCAGGGGAACAGAAAACCCAGAAGCCCTTCCCCTTCCTTTTAGCACGCCGAAAGGACAACAGATTTGGGGCAGGGGACAAGACCTAGTGATTTCCCAGTCAGCTGAAGTTTACGATGCAGCTTTCAACCATACAGGCAACCTGTTCAGTTTTAGCTTGGCCCGAGCTAAAACTGAACCAACTACTTTGAATTTGTAAACCTCTCGTTTGTTTCTATTAGAGCTTCTATCGGCAAGACAGAAGCCTAACTGTGCAAATTTTAAGTATCTGTACAAATTAGTTTAAGGCATATATATTAGTTCTACAAGCTTTTCGTTATGACTGTTCAAAATCTACTTCCTTTTAAAAAGAATGACGTGTAAGGTTTTGGTAAGTGTGAAGTAAGGTGTCAAATTTTCTTTTGTATAATTAGTGAATGACAAGCTTTTAACCTTTTCTTTTTTTCCTACCAGAATTTAATTCACAATAACCTGTTATCTTCTAAGCTTGTGATGACTTTTAAGAATAATAATCAGTGTTTGAGCCCTAGCATGAAGAGTTTAGACTATACTAAGCAAAAACTTATTAGTAACCTTCACTGGATTGTAGCAAATTTTACATCAAATTGAATTTGTATGTGAAAGTTGCTTCTTTTTGTCTTTCCAGTTGGAGTAGCTAAGTTTTTAAGGGTAAGTATGTCTCTAAGTTAACTATACATGTCATTGCATTAACCTTTCACATTTTATGGTTAATATATTTTGTCCTGCCTAGTAAAATAGTCTGATAATTGCATCCTATGTTTCAGGTCACGTGCTCCGCTTTCTACATTTGTAGAATGTCTGTTGGGATTAAGTGCAAGCAACTTAAATATTGCAACCAAAGCATGTAAATGCATTCCGATTCCTATAGCACTCTCTCAGCTTTTTGCAAGGCTACGCAGAAAATAACAACCACGTCCGATACAAAATTTCCCTGGCACGTTTTACGACGACATAGAAATAACTTTGCCTCCTTTGTCAAACTGATTAACGCCGAGATTCCTTAGAGGAATGTGCAAGCTTCCCTTCAGCGAGTATGAAAAATAGACTGCAATATGTTAAAAAACTAAACAAAAGCACGTTCTCAGTCAATGTTGACTATGTTGGCCTCTTGCAAAATGGCAAGCGAAGTCATACTTGTTTTTACACTTACACCCACATATGTTGCACTGAAAAGGATTCTCAAATCCATGACATCCCATGTGAATAGTGTAAAGGATGTTGTCCGCAAAGTACATGTCACAGTGTTGGCAGTGATGCAGAAGCTGAGGGTCCTGAACCGGGAGGGTCGGAGCCGGAGTGCTCGGCTGACTGTTACTTATGCTGGGCGTACTGGTGTGGGCGCTGCGATCGCTGCTGGGACCTGCCACGGGACTATAGTTCCTTTGATTGTGCGGAGGACGAGGATCTGGGCTGGTCGGAGACGAGCTTTGAGGAATATTTGCTGACACAGCTGAAACTACCGCCGGTGCGGCGGGCTGCTGAATCAGGAAAGGCTTCTCGTCTTGACAGGAGACGACGTCGGGAGAGGCTGGATTTTGGTTTTCAGGTGGCAAGCTAGATAACTGTCCGGCTAATGTGGAGAGCTGGTTTAAAGGATTATCTACCATAAGGTCTTGTGGATCTCTCGGCAATCCACTGCTCTGGGTTGATTTTGTCATGCTCTCGTACGCTTCAGTCTGGATATTTGGGATTTCGTGAGTGAAATCATTAAGGTAGTCCGGTTTATGAACCACCATTGAAGGCGGACTCAAATTAATTAATGCTCTTCTGCTGTGCCCCAAATTGCTGGTCTTCTTCTGCAAAACCCCCCACATTTTCTTGCTGCTTAGGGAAGACCTTGTACCCTTGATAGGCACCATTTTATGTTTGCGCCTGCGGTGATGAGATAAGTTGCTCCTGTCGCTGCAGCGGAAGGAACACAACTCACATTTGTACGGTTTCTCACCAGTATGGGATCGCATGTGAGCTTCCAGATGACGTTCGTAAGCTGACGCAAAGGGACACAAATGGCATCTGTGTGGTTTCTCACCTGGAAAATTAAAACAGATTATACTGTAGCGTCTCACAGAGCGCTTGAAAAAGGCTTTTAATGGAATAGAAAGCAGCTAACTGGGAACAGCTCCTCACTTCAGCTTCAGAGTCACTGCTGGTCTTGAGTTTAGCTGAGTATTTGGTGGCAGAGTGGAGTAAATTTAGACACCTCTGCCTCACCCAAGCAATACTAAGCATAAGAAAGAAAAAGAAGTGATGAGAATTAGCATAACAGATAATCTGACTGGGAATTATGGCAATGATGCCAAGGACTGAATGCACCGATGTCTGTGTGATGCTCCTAATCAGACCCAAACTCCACCTCACCTCTACAGCACATATGCAGCTGGGGCTACAGGAACATCTGCACCACAAAAACGCAATCACTCTTAATAATAACTCTGTTTAAATGTTGAGGTAGGGAATCTGTTCAACATCTGCCAAACCTTCCTACTTTTAAACATCCTGGAACTATTATCTAAATGACCCACATATACACGCATCCACTCAAGAATTGAATTTTGAAAAAAGGATCTTGTGTCAAAAGAAAACAAAAGCCAGCTGATCCCTGGACAGCTGTGCACTCTCTCAGACAAGATAATGACAGAATCACAGAATGTCAGAGGTTGGAAGG